CAGCCGTCGGCAGGATGGGTCTCCTGGTGTGGTATGGGTGGCCTATCAGCCACTTTAAGGTCTGGTTAGGTACCATCCACCTTTGGGTATCACACTGTTCCTACCAGATGTGCTAGCTTGGCGATGTGCCCTGGGGACGCCCCATTGAAAATCCACTGCCAATGCTCAGGACGAACAAGATGTCGGCATCACAGAACGGGATACAGCCGGCCCACCACCCAAAGCAGGTGTGATGTACTCATGATAGCGAGGGAGCTACTAAAGGACGACTGGGAATTCAGACTGCCCCACTGCCAATTCTACCAGCCTCCACTCTCCCACCTTTGAGCCCTGAAAATCCAGGGCTGTCGCCGACCTGACTTGGGGGTGCAACGCCTAAAATCTGTCACGAGTCGTCGAACGGGGGGTGGTTCGGTTGGCCAACCATGTCGTCGTATGCCTGCCGGCTGGTATGCTTTTGTGATGGCTTACTGGTATGCCTGCCGAGGAGATCTGGGGCGGTGGCTAATGCGGTAGGAGATGGGCTATGTGTGTCTTTGATGGGCATCATGTGTACTTGGGTCTGGGCCTGAACAGGCAGGTACTGATTTGTCTTTTTGTAGCAAGGCATGAATACAAGAGGCCAACGATTCTCTGATGCATGTTCAAGATCAATGATTTGTCGAGTAGGTATTTGAGAACTCTTCCGTGGTCAAGCTACCTCTCTATGCAAGTGGAGTTGTAAGCTGTGGTCTCGGTCCTTGGGTAATATCAAGGTCGCTGATGAGAATGGCCACCAACTGGGTGTGCTGGGGATCCTAGGTGTATATCTGTTTCTTATACTTCTTGCCAAAGATTGTCCGAATTAATGATGTCGCCGTTGAAGGCGTTGGGGATTTCTCCTTTGACGCCCTGAGCCCCTTCACTGTTCAAGCCCGGAGGGGTAGAAGATGTTGTTCTGGACTTGGACTCGACACATGACATTCGGTTGAATTTCCGACTCTGCTGGGAGGATTGACTTGCTCACCTAGGTGAGTTGATCGAGACAAGGTCAGCTCGGGCGGGCGTTGGACGCTGACCTCGACGTCAATGTCGGTCAGCGAAAACGGACCAGTAAGATTCGCTGACGGCTCTGGATTGAGAAGGTGGGTCCCGCCACCAGTGCTCTGGAGCAAGTTGTTCCCCTTTTCAGAAATGGAATCGGTTCCTTAGGAGGCCGGGTATATAGACTGGTTCCTGAAAACTATGTTGTCGATGATCAGTCGGGAGATGGATTTTATCGACAATTTGTTGTTTACTTATGCTTGAGTGGTTTCTTGGCGGCCACCTCATTCTCCAGGGCTCGCCCAGCCTTACAGAACGACGTCCAGGTTGCCCAGCCAGGAAAGAGGGTAAGACCATAGACCATATTCGGATGTCGAGTTGAACTATCTGATGGCCTTTTAGTTTGAAGTTCGAAGGTCGTGATACCCTCTTGGGGGTATTCGCTTGACTTGGAAGCATCCAATGGAAGGGTTGGCGATAGTTCCCAGAGTCGACATTTTTGCACCCCCTCTGCCCCGTTCCGACTGCCGAGCTGGCGGCAAGGGAACGGCCCTTTTCTGGCAGGTCCAACATTTATCGCTCTCGTTTCCAAGGTTGTTGTCGATCGGGTTGCGTGTCTGGCAATTTACGCGTCGGGAAGCTCTGGTTGGCTGTCACATGCCGTGACTGACGACACAATATGCATATAAACCGGAATATGTCGAGCTTGCCACAGGGTGTATATGCATATCCGTCGCGCCTTGATTTGTGACCCCACGACGGGACTGGTGATAAGGCTCCCATTGCTGCTGCTGTCAATAGTAGGCCATTTTATTCTGCTCGGCGATTCCAAGTGCTTTGGTGCTGATTTGCTGGCCACCTAGTTTGATCTTTGCACTTGGCTCGGTGGAGACGCGGACTTTGCCGATGACGCTCCGCTGGCAAGCTACAGCCACTCTTGGACACGTGAAAATAACTGGGACAGGGCAGGAATTGCAGACCCAAAATTTCGAGGAACGGGGTGGATCTCGGCGTGCATCTCGAATCTACACACAGCAAAAGCCCTGAGATGCTCCCTGAAGTCTCGTCGAGAACCCACAGCCGCCGTCCATCCACAGTCCACGCCCACCCCGACCACATCCCCAGTGCGAGTCGAGTCTCGCCTGGTCATCGACCTTGACATCCACCACCCAGGCCCAAACCACCCAGCTCACCGGCGAGCCACCAGTGACCACCCCCACCTGCCATTCATCCCGTCCATCCCGTCTCGACCTGCAGCGAAGCACCTGTCGCCCGTCGACCCGACCCTCGATTGACGAATAGATCTCGCTCCCAGCAGCCTGCCAGGCCAATCTCCCTTCGTCACCCAACACCCCCAACGGCCGATCGCCGCCATCACGACCATCGCCCGACTGCTACCACTTCCACGGGATTGCCCGCCGCCGACCACCATCGTCGACGACAACCTCCCGACCCACCGAGCATCGCCGCTTCTGCGAAGAGCCGACGGGAGCCAGCCCCAGAGACAGCGTTCGAGTTGCCTCGGTAGCAAACGATCGCCTCGCACGGTGGCCACATCGCGATCCCCTCACGACTGCCTGCCAACGAATCCACCCCCTCCCCACGATTGCGTTCCAACGGCTCGGACGCGTCCAGCACTGCGTGCGGCTCTCACAACGAGGCAGCGGGCGAACACAGCTCGCCCGCCGCAATAATGTGGTGGTTTTTCAGCGGCCTCTCGAGCGCGATATTCCTGCTGAGTATCGTGCTCTCGGTCCCTCTCGCCTTCGACGTCGGTGGCCGCGATTCCGGCCTGGCCTACTCGCTCGCCCTCTTTCTCTTTTACATCTTTTACAGCTCCAGCAAGCTCCTGACGCCCGAGCGGTCGCGGGTACGCTGGTTCTTTACCACCCTCGTGGGCTGGTCGCAGTGGATCGTCATCCCCGCCCTCCTCATCTGGGCTCTGAACCGCTTCTCGGTCGATGCCGGCAGCACCTGGGTGGAACGTACCTTCTCCCACGTCACAAATCGTCCCAAGGCGAGCAGCTGGTCCGACTGGTTCTTTGGACGCGACGGCGTCGTCGAGACGGTTGCGCTGGGAGGATGGGATAAGACTCTGAGCTATTCGAGCCCCATCTTCCAGCTGCTCGAGGGGTTCTGCAGCTTGCTGGTTATCCAGGCGGCCGGGCAGATTACAAGATGGCTGGTCAACCGCGGGAGGAGTGACACGTGGGTGGTACGTCCTTGCCATGCCCGAATACATGTCCTCTGACAACTGCTAATCCAACGATAGATTGTCCTCCTCGTCTTCTCGGGATCCGTCATCTCGAGCGCCACCTACTTCCTCTGGCGCATCGCCCGCTTCCCCCAAATCAACAACCTCGACGCTACGCTCATTGGCGTGACCATGACCTCTGCCGTTTTCCTTTGTGCTTTCGGCATCGGTAGCGGTCGCGGCAACCCCGTCGAGTCTTCGCTGCTCTTTGCCTACATTGTTCTCTGCGTCTACCAGATCTTTACCGACTACCAGCCTTCAGCCGAGGCTGCCGCGGCGGCGGAGCAGGCGGCGGCGTTGCAGCCCGATTTCCCGCCTCTCCCCCCGATCATCATGGCCTCTTACTCGACGCTGCTTCACATCCTTAGCACCCTCCCATCCGCCGTGAGCTCGTCTTTCGGCTTCATCTACGCCGCCTTCCAGACCATCACGCCCAGCGTCATCATCTCCCTGACATATCGAACCATTGTCTTTTACTGCGCCACGAGAATCATTCCGGCTGTGAGAGAGCTGGGGGCCCAGGCCATCATGGTTGAGCCCTCGTTCGAGGACAACGACGGTGCCAACCGACTCATGGGTTTCCTCAGCTCGTTCTCGCCCTCGATCCTCATTGCCGTATACACGAGCCTGCTCCTGCAGCATTTCAGCATCAACGGCGGCGACGACCTCGGGTGGACTTTGCGGGCGGGCGATGCCGGCGGCAGCACCTGGCGGTGGATCAACCTCGCGGCCACCATGGGCCTATACGCCATCGAGCTGTATCTGGGCGGGGATGGCGACAGTGGGGCGCACTGGAAGACGGACTAAAGGCCGCCAAGGCGGCGGGGGCCTGAAGGCTGAGCATTCACGAGCCACGAAACCGACGGCGCTGCGACGGCCACGAGGAAGGCTCCAAACCTATGGAGGGTCATGAGAGGGGGGAGTACGGCAACATGACCACCACCAGGGCATAACAAATACATTCGCCACGGGACACCCTGTAGGGAATGATCCCGGCGACACGGCCGCAGGAAACAAGACGGGATCTGCTTCCGGGGCGGACAGAAGACAGGAATGATACCCGAGGCGCAAGACGTGCAGGTTCAGTGGTAGCCAACCACAAGGGCATACTGGGGAAAGGGAAAGGGAAAGGGATCTACAAGAGTCGCTTGAATGACGAGAATCCCGGGAAAGAAAGCCACGGGACAGAGGCCGACCATATCGATACGATAGGCGAAGAGCAAGGGGTGCAGACTTTGGACTAAGATGTCATTTTCGACAGAATCAGCAGAGAGGAAAGCGACAAGATGTGCCTGAAAGGAGGCGGCGGCGAGCGGGCTTAATAGCGCTTCTCGAGACCCGAGACCACACGACAGCGCAAATTCATGACAGTAACGCGGTATGATGCGTAGGGGCTGCCTACCTCCCTAGCTAGCTATGGGTATTGGCTTTGGTCGAAACTAGCTACCGTAATAGCTAATTGCCCATGTGGCAGACTCTGATAATCCTTTTTGCAAACAAGATGTGCTGTGTTCTGCCTAGTAGTCTGGAAGTACCTCGATGCGTCGACGTTACCATCATGGAAATAGACAACCCTCAAACCAGAGGGACAAGTCTCTCACAAGATAACTCAATCCCGAAGGCATACCAGGCCTGTATCATATGCTCTCATGACCGAACACACCTCCCCCCCACATAGCACACAATACCCACCCCCCACCTCAACACAAATCCAACCCCAGAAGCCCGGCTAGCTCGATCGGTAGAGCGTGAGACTCTTAGTACTCCCCTCCCTCCCTAGGGCAGGCCTTCAACTCAAGACTCAAGGGTTGACAGACACGGATACTTTGGTACCATCTCAAGGTTGTGGGTTCGACCCCCACGTCGGGCTCAATTCCCGTCGCTTCGCATGCTTCTCTTTTTGCTTTCGTGTCATGTCATGTCGACTATTTCTCGTTGTTATCGCCGTCACTGCTTGTTTTATTTTATTTTGTATCGCCTGTGCTTGCTTACTACATCCTTCTTCGTGTCCGTCGCGTGTATTCCGTGCCAGTTCCCACCTACCCCTTTCCAGGCTAACTTGCCGGCGGTTTTCAGGCCCGGCGTTGACGACAGCGAGCAACCCGGTTGCTCGCCGGTATACCCGGCATATCTCACGGCATGAAGACCCGCCATCGCTGGAGCCAAAGGGGATATCATCATCATCTTGATAATGCCCCTTGGTACAATGCATAGGATGTATGAAGTATACCACGCATCTATCCCACCATCACCCCCACTCTCCCCCCCAAGCGAAGCAACAACCGTCTCCCCCATCATGCACACAATCAGTACACTTCATGTGTAGTATACCAGTTCCATACGCCACATAACGTACGTACACATATGCATTGTCCATGTCGTCGTCTCCCCCCATGTGCCCAACCAACCAACAGCCTTCCCAATGAATGCCCCCCCCTCCCCCCTCCCCCCTCCCCGTTCCCCCTTGCCCTCCCCAACCACCAATCACCCTATGCAATGCACAAAACTAAAAAGAATGCTCTATCTACCTCGGTCCCTGACCCTTCTCCTCCCACTCCTCCTCCGACCTGGGTATCCTCCGCCCACCACCACCACCCCCCAATGCAACCCCCAAAAACTTCCTCCCCCCGCTTCTCGGCCCCCTCCTCCCACCTTCCCCAGCACCGGCGGCGGCGGCTTCCTAAGACCACCTAAGATCCGAGCTCGGCGCGCGACTATTCCTCCTCTTGGCGCTCCCGCTCGTCACCGACGTCTCCCTGCTCATGAACCCCGCCACGCCGTTTGTCGTCGTCGTCGCAGAAGGCGAGACGGCGTACGCGGTGGTGGACGACCCGGAGCGAATTCGTGCACCACTGCCACCCGTCTGGATATCCGTGACCGACGACCCGGAGCGGATCCGCCCGCCGCCCTGGTTCTCCTTGCCCTCGTTGCCTCCCCGGCCGCTCCCGCTCTGCGGCGGCGCCGTAACCGACGACGTCAGGCTCGGGCGGGTGTACCCCGTCATCGAGGTGCGCGGGAGTCTACTGCTGCTCTTACTGCCGCCGCCACCGCCGGGGTTCCCGCTCGTGGGGCCCAAGGACGACGACGAGGAGGCCGTGGTGTCGCCACTGACGCGGCGGGGGAGGTTGGTCCCGTCGCGGCTGCGGGGGCGGTAGATGGAGGCGTCGCGCTCGTGCGTCATGGCGAGGGCGGTGCGCTTGGGGGTGGAGGCGACCTCGATGAAGGCCGAGGACTGCGAGGGGCGGTGGCCGAGCGGGGTGGGCGGCAGGGAGGCGGCGGTGTAGCTCGTGGTGCGGCGGGGGCCGGAGCGAGAGCGCGGGCCTGAGTGGGAGCCGCCGCCGCCGCCGCCGCCGCCGGTGAGGCTGAGGGCGCTGACGTCGTGCTGGAGGTCCGTGTCGAAGCGGCTGCGGACGAGTTCCGAGGCGAGGTTGCGCACGAGGACGGCGGCGTCCTTGTCGGCGAGGGTTTGGATGTCGTCGAAGAGGAGGCGCAGCTGCTGGCCGGTGTTGGAGGTGCTGCGGGAGGCGAGCGCAGAGTTGTTGGCTTCGCAGCCGTCCATGATGTTGCGGACGAGACGCAGCAGGTTGAGGCGGACGACGGCCTTCTTGTGGTTGAGCTTCTGGGCGATGCCGGCGTACATGTCGGCTTTAGCGAGCGACGCCGCCACTGAGGGGCTCAGACGGAGGACTTTGAGCAAGGGCTCCAAAAGGTTCGGGTCAAAGGCGTTGACCTTGGTCGTGATGAAGCACGACATGATGGATGTGGTGAACTCGCCGCGGAGGAGATGTGTCTCTACCTTGGCTGTCTCTTCCTGAAGCCACACAAAGATGGCATCGAGGGCTGTGACCTGCCAGTATTGGTCCGCGAGCAGCGACACGTAAAAGTCCAACCCGTTGTTCTGCCACAGGTAGCGGCGCCCTTTGCTTCCCGAGTGCGCCATGTCGCACAGAATGGGGAGGACAAACTCCTTGGGTGGTCGGTCCGTCTTCATGATTTTGAGCAAGAGGGGTATGATGCCGTTGCTTGCCGCGTACTCTTGCCTCTCCTTGCTGAGCCGGCAGAGGTTAAACATGGTGTTGAGAACCTGGTTGGAGATTTCGCGAAAGTGCTGAGCCCCTTTCCTTATCGAGTGGCCCAACACGTCGATCAAGAAGTCGATGGCATCGGCAGAGTGAAGCGACTCGAGGGTGGTCGAGAGCATGGACAAATTCTTGATGAATTTGAGCATGGTAATCTGGTGTGACGGTGTCATGCGTCGGAGGTCCTTGAGAACGGCTACCAAAGAGTCAGTCAAGTCGTCCATCGAGAATGTATCCAACGTACTCTTCAAAACCTGTCGATCCGCCACCACCTCCTTGACGTAGTTCTCGGCCTGAGAGAAGAGGTAAAAGATATTGACAATCCGCCCTTCTATGAGCTCAGAAAGCTCATCCTTATCCTCTTCGTCCAAAACCTTGTGCAAGACGGCGGCCAAGGGATCAAGGATCTTGCTGCGCGAGAAGATTCTGCAAAAGTCGTTCTTCGGTGTTGGTCCCTGCGAACGGTCAGCTCAGCCTCACAATACTTCTCCAGCACACCGACAGCATACCTGCAACTCAAAGACGTTCCAGATGCCGTTGACCCCAATCAGCACAAGACTCTGTGACGCATCATAGTCCTCGTCAAGAAACTCTACCAAGACGTTCAAACCACCAGCGCTGACAAACATTTGCAGCGTCAACGTCGACGTCTGATACATTTGCCGCACAAACGCGGCCGCTTCCAGCCGAATCTCGTTCGAGTACTGCCGCGCCGCAAACTTGGTGATGATGGGGATGCCGCCAACGAAGCACAAGTTTTCTTGCAACTCCACGTCGTCCAGAATGATCTGTCCCTGTCAGCGAAGCCCCAAACCCCGATACTTCAGGAAACGTACCGCGTTCACGATCTTGAGCAGCTGCAGTATCATATGCTGCCTGCTCTTCACCGTGCACGGCTCGAGGATCTCCAGAATCGGCAACAGCCCATGCGCGCTGATGATGAGATCCTTGACCTCGGTGTTTTCCCACAAGAGGGCGAGCTGCGCACTGTTAGCCATGCTCCTTACCCCCCCTCCCAAAAGACTCACCAAATCTTCCGCCAGATCCGCCAGCGTATCCTCGCCCTCCGTCGTCTTCATCGACCTCACCAGCTCCTCCACCTTCTCCGCCAGCCGCGCGTGGCGATCGCGGGCGATGTTGGCTTCGAGGTCCATCTCATCCCACCCCGGATCCATCATGGCGAACGGGTCGTCCTCCTCCTCCTCGTCGCCGAGCCACGAGTTGTGCGACAGCTTCGACATGAGCATGAGCTGCTGGCCGTCCTCGGACCCGCGGTCGCTCTCCTCGGGCTCGGCAAAGGCGTCGCCGCCCCCAAAGATGTCGGAAAAGTCCTCGTCGCCCTCGTTCTCGGCAAATTTGGTGATCTCGACCGTCGACCTCGACCTTCTCACTGGCTGGTCGTCCAGGTCGGTAGGGCGTGATGTCACTTGCCTCCGGATGCTCCCCACCACTGGGGATTGCGTGGACCGCGGCAGGCTTGTGAGGTCGGAGGGGTGGAAGAGTTGAGGTGCATCCTGCAAAGAGTTAGAATGTCCGGCAGCGTCTCGAGAGTGCGTGCATACCTTGGTGACGATGCTGAGCCGGTTGTTAAAAACATGATCATTATCGTCAAAGAGATCCGAGTAGTCTTCCACCGACTGCTCCCGATACATGAGGTCTGGCCGTGGAGGCAGCTGAAATTTGTTACCAAACTGCCCCCCGACGGGCGACTTTGGCTGGGAGATGGTCGGCGCCGCGGTCCTGCTGCTCTTTTGCCTCTTGTGACTGTGCGGTTTTGGCTCCAGTGCCTTTTCTGTCTTTCTCGGAAGGAGTCGAATTGTCTGCTCCTGGGGGTCAAAATCAGACCAATGTCGTGGCCCCTTGATGGTCAAGAGATCGCTACTAAAGTCGCCATCCCAGTTATCCGAGTCTTCCCGGTGGCCGTCGATGGACGCAAACGCCTTTAACTTGTCCCCAGAAAACTGCCCACCAAAGTTATCCTGCCCCTTGATATGAGGAAGGTTGTGCAACGCTATGTTGGTGGCAAAGTCATTGTCCCAGTTGTCGTCATCGGCACGTTCCGGAGATCTAAAGTCATCCGCCGTAGGTCTCGGCTTCGCCAGTGCCAAGGGGCCCTTTCCGGGAGCGAGTCCAGGCCGATTCCCGTGGGTTGGTAGCCGTGGCGGCCCGCTGCTGTCGGAGCTGATCGAAGTTCGAAGATTGTGCTCGGACGACTTGAGCGCCTTGTTCCACTGCTTGACCTCCTCGACGGCTTGGGTGAAGTTCGCAGGAGCCTTGGATACCGGGGCATCGCTCCTCCGGCAGCTGGTGATCCAGGCGTGGCGCAATAGCTTCCTGGCCGAGACGCGGAGATTGGGATCTTTTTGGAAACACTGGGTGAGAAAATCACGCGCGGCCTAGTCCATGTTAGCGATCCAATCGTGGGCTCTAGCAGGTAGAACAAACCGGAGACACTCCTTCCGGGAGGGGGGGATGGTCATCGTTGACAATGGCAAAGAGCGCCTGCATGGCCGCGAGGTTGTGATATGGCGGCCTCCCTTGCAACAGCTCGATGACAGTACACCCTACACTCCAGATGTCGGAAGCCGACGTCGCGCCGGAGAGCTGGATGATCTCCGGGGCCATCCAGTACGGGGTGCCCACTACCTGGGCCTCCTTGTCCGGGCCGGCAAGAGTGCTGGTCGACACGCCAAAGTCGGCCAGCTTCACGGTTCCATCCTTGGTCGTCAAGATGTTGGCGCCCTTGATGTCTCTGTGGATGACACCCTGGTCGTGCAAGTAATGCAAGCCC